TGCTCCTGAAAGCTGAGGCTCCCCTGCATCCTTTTGGAAGCCCCGTCACTATGGCAACTGTGTGCAGCTTTATGATCTGTTTGTTGTCCACCTCTCTCAATCAGAAAAGCTTTTGGAGCTTTTATATTTTCAGTGATTTTCATTCAAATTCACTAGTGGGTGGTTTTGAATACACTGTGAGGAAAAACTTCCAGGAACTTATGTGGTTCACTGTTGCATTCTTTTTTTTTTTTTTTTAATTATTTAAAAATACTTTTTCTTGATTTTATATTCATTTTGTGTCATTTTCATGACTGCTCTGAGAGCATCAGAGAGAAAAAGAGAATTTTTTACTTCAGCCCCTGATTTGGGGGCAAACCAAATTGCTCGCCATGATCCAGCTGGTGTGGCTGTGGCACTGAGAGGGCAGCAGAGCTGCACATGTGCTCCCCTGCCCCAATTCTCAGGGGACCAGCAGGAGCCAGGCAGAATGGATGAGAACCCTTAGGGCCTAAAGGCAATTTTGCCCTGGAGCAGACCTGTGGGTAGCCCAGGGAGATTTCCTTCTTGGTGCTCCCAACTCAACCAGGGGATACATGAAACAGATGATCATTGATGGTGAAGCCTCAGTGTATGCACATGGTAAATGTACCCATCTTTTCTTACCTGCTTATTCATCACCAAGGGACATTTCAAACTCTAGTGGTCACTCTTCCCAGCTTATAAGCTAAAGCTTTTACCTAGCAGGTCATAGCACTTCTGATTTGATGATTATTTTAATGGCGCATCACTACTTGCATTTGTATCCTTCTTGGCCCATTCCCTCTCCAGGGCTTCTGTCTCTGTGTGTCATAGAGAGTTTTCATTCCTTACCTTCTGCATATTCTTCCACCTGCTCTGACCCCTCTGCCATAGAAGTCCTAGGAGGTGAAGATCTGTTCAGTTTTGACAAATGTTAGCACTTCTGCATTTGCTAGTAATATTTTAAGGAGTTATTTTCTTTCAAAGGAATTTAAATACCTCTACTTACTTTTGCTGCATTTCAAAATTTCGCTTCTTGTGCTGACATGGGAAGAGCTCTTTGGTTGGGAACTCATAGTTTGCTCTGAAGGTTTGAGATTATCAATGAGGAAATCTTATTTTTCAAAATGTAGTTTAAAAAGAGCTGCCAGGTGACTAATAATAAAAATGCATAGACATGAAACCAAGATATTACTGGGGAGAAAAACTGAATGCTTTCAAATACAGAAAATAAGGACTATGGTTTTAGTTGTGTTTTCATGTAGTTTGGTTGCTAGTGTTCATGCATTCTGGATAGTCAAAATAAGCCACTTTCCTTTCAGATATCCTGATGTTTTTACTTATAGAGCATGACAGGATGCTCTTAGATTTGGTGTTTTAAAATGCATTAATGTGCTTAAATGGCACAGGATAGCTCAATAGCAGGTTTTAATAAAACTTCTGGTTTTGTGTACAGAACCAAAACATTGGGAATCTGTTTGTTTGAGTTCCTTTGGAAAGGACCTTTCTTTTTCATCTAGCCCTTGGTGTGGCAATGGGTAGAGGCTTGAGGCAAGGAATGGAAGGCCGAGTTTGCACCCAGGATCTCACGGCAGAGCTCAGAACCTTGGCTTGATATCAATCTTATCTTTTGCTATAAAGATAAGGAGCCTGGAAAAGCCCTATTTTACTGTACAAGTAGGTCTCAGATGGTGTGAGCAGGATACCCCGAAGTGGATGGTGATGCCTCTGGATGAGGCAAGCTCTGCAGCTGATACTAATCCCAGTTTTCATGGCAGAGTGGGACAAGGAAGAGCCCTGGGGATCCAGAAGGCGCTGTGCTAAGAAGAGGAGGACACATCTCTCAGCCCCACTGTTTGGCAGCACCTATGCTAAACAGGGAAGTCGTCTTCAGAATACTGCCAGTGGGAGACCTGACAATCAGCATGTTCAGCCCCTTACTACCACAAGAGGTGTGTTGTTTTGGGGTCATTTTTGTAATCAGGACAAAGCAGGGATAAGCTGGGATTCTGAGTTCCTCAGGAACACTCCATGGACATCTTAAACCCCAGGACTGGACAGCAGCCATCAATGTGGGCAGCATATGAACAGATTGCAGAACTCACTGGGATTATCAACTCCCTCTCAAGCTCACCCCTACCCTGTGATTGTGTCTTCTGTGCTTCTCTGAGTGAGGCTGACCTTACAGCCCCTTTTACTTCAGCTGGGATTCATTGCTGCCAGGGTTGCTGAATCCCTCTGCCTCTCCAGAGAATGTATAACCAACAGCATCAGATTCTACTCTCAGGAAATTGCACAAGCTCAGGGAAACCCGGAGATGGCTGAGAGACCCTAAAGCTTCCCAGCTAGAGGTTCTCTCTCCTGTTTTGCTGGTGCTGTTTAGTAAGTCCATGGTAATGTTCCGCCATGCCAGACAGGCTCCAGCCATTGTGCTGGAATTGAAGGGAGAAAAGAGTGCTGAGTGAGAAGAGTGCCTATGTGGCTGCTGCTGCTGCTGCTGCTGCTGCTGCTGCTGGATAAAACATTGCAAGGAGATGAGAAAGGCCATGGAGAAGGTGGTGGGAGGGCTCTGGAGGCGGCACCTGCCTAAGGTTGCAGCAGCTTCAGAGTGATTCATCCTGGACTGGCTGCTGAAATGCTGAGCCCTGAAACTTTCATCATGTTTAGCATTTCCCGCTATATAACACACAACTTTGCAAAGGGCTGTCTGCTCAGTGTTCAGCTGCAGCAAAGGCCTGAGTCACCTCCTGGTCCCAGCAGCCCCTGGGGAAGGGAATGGGCAAATCAGATCTTGCAAGAACAGGCAAATTACTTTCACTTTCTCAAGAGAAAACCCCGAACAAACAAACAAAAAAAGAAGATAGTAAGAGGAAGTGAATACTTGAAATCAGCAGGATCCAAAGTGAGCTCCTCTATTACAGAAAAGCCAGAACAATCTACTGGTGTGGTATGGACGTTGAAAGTGTTTGAACGATGTCTGCAAATTTTTTCTGTTCAAGAAGATGCACACACTGATGGCAAAGCAAGTGATCAGAATTTTGCTAACTGCTTGCTGCAGTTTTATCTGACAAAGCTCCTCACTCAGAGCTGAGAAAATAAGTGTCCCCTCAGCAAAGCTCCATGGGCCAGGAGCCTGACACATCCAGGCTCCAACATACTCTGAGAAGAAGATAATCCTGTAGAGAAGATCTAATGAAAACATTAATCATCATGTGTTTTAAGATGTTTGGTTGCATAAAATATTGGTGGATTAATTTTCCAAGATAGGCATTTTGCTCACAAGCACCTGGAGAGCTTTATCAGAGCTTCTTGCTTCCTTCTTCTCCACCTCAGTCACTGAACTGGAAAAATTCACCCCCAGAAACAAGCAGGTAGAGATCACAGTGATCACAGCACTCCTGATAGGAGGCATGAGGCAGGTGCTTTTGAAGATTATGAGGTACTCCTGTCCTGTGACCAGCCCTGCAAAAGAGGCTGCAGCAGGAGTCCCCAGGGACAATATGGTACATTTGCGGGGCTCACTAGTCTGTGCTGGCAGCCAGATGCACTCTGCAATCTTCTCGCCTTCAGATCACCTCTAAAGGTGATGCAAAATACCCTCTGCTGGCAATTCAGTGGTGGGGAGTCTCCCATCCTCAGTATGATGCCAAATGTCCCCTATCTTTTGTATATTGTCATTGAGCTGTGAGACTCCCACACCTCTGTGAGTAAGAGAGACCCCTGCCAAATCTTCTACCCAACAGCCAGATTTATAGGCCAGGGAAACCAAGAAAAATCCCTTGTAGAAATAACCCTTCTCATTAAGTCCTGGTTGAGATGCATGGTGCAGTGCATCTCTTGTTTGATCTACAGCTCCAGCATGTCCACAGACTTCAGCCAACATCTTGTAGGTGATGTTTTCAAATTTCCTCTCAGTATGATGAAAGACTGAAAGTTTAATTTATAAGAAGAAATTATCTCAGCCCCTGAAGCTGAAATCTCAATTTCGTCACCTCACCCAGGAGCTGGGACCTTGGCACAGATGGATAGTGTCTATCTGTTAATCCAGACCCAGAGAGAAGAAGGAAAGGAAAAGCTTGTCATTAGAGGACTAAAGAGAGAAATAATTCTGGGGGCCTGCTCATATCCTCAGCATACTCAAGACTCAAAAAAGCACTAATGCACTGAGGCCTTAAAGTATATTTTCACAGAGGTCAAGTGCACGTCCCCAGCATGGAATGAGCAGAATAAAAATTGGCATTAAATTCTGTGTCACTGAAACCTTGATTCAGAGTCACTGCAAGTGAAAACCCCAGAGAACATGAAATGCTGTTAGAGTTGTACAACAAGGCTTTGATTTTTATTTTTTTTTTCCTCTACCCCTCTGGTGCATGATGTTCCTGCAATTAATTTAGTCTATGTTTCTAACAATGTGTGTGCAGAAGGAGGGGGAGAAAATTGATTTTTGGTTTTCCTTATATCAAAGCAGTAAGGCTTACTAAAGGAAGAGCTTACATTTCTGTCCCAACATGTATCCCTGTTACATTCTGGATAATCCTTGAAAGATACCCCAAGGAGTAGATTTTGGGGAGGAAAAAAGATGTTCACAGAGGCATGCAGGAGGACCTGTGCTGCTCACAGAAGACAGGTGAGGACGGGGACCATGCACAGGGATGTTGGCATCAGCAGCACACAACTGCCTGGAGGCCACCCAACAGGATGGGAAATGGCTTGGACAAACAAGGAGGAGAATGGGAACTCACTGACAAATTACTTGTGATCTTGCCATGACTCACTACAGAAACTTCCCTACCTCAGTTCGTCTTCTTTACACATCTTTACTGGTGACTGATCCGTGGCAGTCTGGTTTTTTTCAAACTTAGAAAGCCGCTCAAACACACAAGCACTGAGTAATTACCATACATGTCTAGCACCTAAATAAATAAAAAGTGCTTACCCTGCACTTTTCTGATCCAAAATGTTGTAGACTCTGAGTAATCACTTCTAAACCTGCGTTACAGATGTTTGTGTTGCTTTCCTGGGCCTGCCAACAAGAAGTCTGAGGTGGAGGATGAGCCTGATGTCCTGGAAAAGCTGCAGAGTCAGACTGAGTGAGCACGGGTGTGGCAGAGCTTTTCAGCTCCTCTTGCTGCAGCCTTTTCACAAAGGCAGAACCGGGTCTCGTTGGTATTTCTCTTCCTGCTGTCCTGATCACCATTCTGCATGCAAATGTGCCCATGGACTAAATACCTTGAAGCTCATACTTTCTAGGAGATGCACATTACCGTGTCTTCTTCAAGCCTGTGTATGGTTTATACTGCATCTGGTCCCAAAATATGAGTGAGAGGAAAAACAGTGGTGGAAATTGAAGGAAAGAAGGAAGCCAGGGCAGCTCTGATAGCTTTTCTGTCTCCTCCTAAAGTGCAATGGACATACACAGATGCGGGGAAGCACGTGCATCCACGTCTGTCACTCACAACAGTTTGGAATGGGGGTAAGACGACCTATCACCCCAAACCCCAGCCATTCTTGAATGAGCTGCTGGAGATCTTTGGTGCTGCCTCCCATAGCCACCTCCTGGCTCAATAGAGCTGGTGGCACTGGTCTCCCCAGCAGTGCCTGCAAGTATATGGGAAGCAGGCAAAGGCAAGGCTGGGAAATGGGGAGGTGCAGAGCAGGATGGATGGACCAAGTGTCCCGAACAGAGAGAGAAAATTGAAATCCCATAGAGGGAACTCTTCCTTCTTTTGGAAGGCACTTTGAAGGGCAGTTTTAAAAGATTCCTCCAGTGGACTAAAGAAGAAGACATGCTCGAGGTACAAGCACATACTGCTTTCAGGTATGTTCATGGGGCATTTAGGGACAGCTTGATGTACTTAAGATGCAAAAGATAGTCCAAGAGAGACTGAAAATTTGGAACAAAACTGAAGGATATTATGCTGTTACAACCAGATAAACAGTCTGTTCCCCTTTCAAAGTTAAGCAAATTTTACTATAGTTATTTCTATGCTATAGCCTCCTGTTTTGTACTTCAGATGAGTGCTGTTCACAGAGAATGAAACTCCTCTGTATCCACATAGCTGGGGGAAGCTGCTGAGGTCCAGCTGGGGAATGAAACCTGTCCTTGGAAAGAAGATATCCACAAACAGTGAAAATACTTGTCAAAATTGTACAGAGACCTTTTAATTAAAAGAAAAGTAAAGAAAGGCAAAACAAACCCCAACCTAATTATGTTAGTCTCATGGTGAGGGATTCAGCCTACTCTTACTTTACCTATAGTTTTCCTTTTTCGATGGCTGGGAATGGATATACATATTCAACGCTCACCCTGGTTCCAGAACTGTATTCAATCCAAAATGTAAAATTGCTTTTTTAAATGTTCTGTCCTTCTTAAGTCTCCAGCCTTGAAGCTTTCACTCATTAGTGTAGTGCCAGTGTTCAGACCCTGGCTTTCATCTGGAGATAGGAGTGTCAGTGTTTCATCCTTAGGGTGTCAGAGGTTTCCAGTCACATGTTGGACAAAACTCCGCTTTTCAAGCAGACTCTCACAAGCTGTTGGAGCTTTCTGAACCTATTTTGTCCAAGAAAAAATATCTTAGATCCATAATAAGGAGTTTATTCCAGATCTTTTTCTATTTAGTATGCAATATTTTAGTTATGGCTCTACGCATGCTGACATCATGGGCTGCTACTTTGTTCCTGTGAATGAAGTAAATAGCTCTGTGTTCCAGCTCACAATAACACAGCTATATTCCTAGTTGGCCTTAGCCAAGACAAGCTATTAAAATTAGTTTTGTTTTGTCACGTTTCATGTTCTGAATCATCTTCAGGAAGTGTGGATCTGGTGGAGAGGCACTGAACAGGCAGAAAAAATGCTAAGATGATCCTAAGATGCCAGAACCCAGTGGGACAAAAGCAATAATGTTCCTTGTCTCCTAATGCTGTGCAAAGGTGTGTGTGGAAAAAGGATAATTTTTTAATGTGTTCAAAATACAGCCTCCTTTTTTTTTGCCAGTTGTAACTCATGGTGAAATGCCTATGCTGACTATCCTCTGTCTTCTGCTGCAGGGAGGTGGGCAGTGGAAAGTGCAGCAACGGGCTTTGTCAATTACTTCCCTGTTAGTGGAGTAATTTTGCTCTGATAGGATGAAAAGAAGGTTATTTTATATGACTTGAACTGTGCAGCCTGATACAAGCACTAGGAAGCTTTGACTGTGTTATAAATAACTTGTGATACTAGCACAGCTTTGTGCAGGTGCCTCTCTGAAGCTCCTACCTTGGCAGCCACTGTCAGCAGCTTCCCCTAACATGGAGGCAGTCCATGGTGATGGTCACTGGTGGGGATGGTGGGCTGGAGAGACCATCCTCATGTTCACTGTGTGACGCTGCCGCCTTCTGCTTTGCTGCGCACGAGGAAGGCTCGAGCCCTTTCTGCTCCTCACACTTGCCACCCCGTGTTCTCCTTGGGACAGGCTCACTGCTTTATTTGTCTAGGGTTGCATCTCTGCCTGGATCCCATAGGACCTTTGTAAGGATTCAACATCACTCATCGCCTAGGAACACCTTTTTTTGAAAAGGACCAGAAAATTTCAGGGCAGTCAGGAGAGAAGTCTTCTCCTCAGCAAAACAAGCATCTGAGTAGCTGCCAATTATCTGCTGTAACGGCTCATGAGGTCAGGTAGTGTTTGAAAGCCAGAGATTTATAATCCAGAGTCACATAAACTCTATGGCAAATCAAATCTGTGATGGAAAAAAGATACTGTAATAAAAAGATTCAGCACAGGAAGTCTTATAAACTGTTAATTTTACTTAGGATAATTACAGTATTTACATCTAGGTAGCACTGACAGTTCAAGGCTTTGATATACTCTAATGTGATTTATGGGCAGCAGAAGAGAGTTGGGTTGAGCTCATCGTCCCCACCTCAGGCACAGCTGCTCTATGTGCAAAGCCTTGATGAGCACATGCTGCCACAATAGATAGGCCTGACCACAGGTGCCTCCTGTCAGAAGCATGACATTTTCATGGGCTGCTGCTCAGAGATGACCTGGGATTATTAAGCACTAATGAAGATTCTACACTTACAGACAGCTCAAAGAGCTTGGCAACGCACTCGAGGGAGTGAACCCAAACTGATTCCAGAAGGGAAATGGGAAAGGAGAAAGTAAATGAGGCTGCCTCATCTTCCAGGAGCTCCTTTTAGTGCTTCAGTAGATGGCTGATCAACAGTGGCCTCAAATTCAGGCCCACTGTCATCACCTGTAGCTCCATTCTGCCAGTGCAGTCTACAGCACAGGTGAGGAAATAGCCACAAAACAAGTAATGGCTGAGGTTCTAACAGTGATTTGTGGCACAAATGCTGCAGCTGCTTGTGATTTTGAGGATTTGTTGTTTTCCTCTCCCATGGATGCCATCCTGCCCCTTGGAGGTCTCCAGCTGTAAGCAGGATAAGCCATGTCAGTGAGGTGGTGGAGAGAATCACAACCCAGGATGGAAATATTGCATGACCACATTGGTTGCAGAAACACTAAAAACAATTTTTGAGAGAGATGTCATATGTAGTTTGAGAGCGGAAGGAGCATCTCTGGGTGCCAGTCTCAGGTTTTAAAGGTGGGTGGTGCCAAAAAGATACTGTGGTTTGGGTTTATCATCAGCTGATTATTGTCTGAAATGAAACATGGGTGACATCAGGGGGCATGGGAACAAGGTCTGGGAAATAGGTAAAAATCCCCTGAAGCAAACCCAGCATGGGCCTTTCTGCTTTCTGAATTTAACCCTCCTAGAAATTGTGTTCAGTAGACTCATTGGGATTCATGTTTACCTGAAATATCTCAAGAAGGTTCTACATGGATAAAATTATATCTGTCCTAAAATGGCTCGAAAAGGGAGCGGTATCTCATTTTGCCTCCTACCTGGGAGCAACACTTCTTTGCCATCTTACCACCCCACTGGAAAGGCACACAGTGGCACCAAGAGACACCCAAAATACCCACTATGAGGATAACTTTGTGTTGCTTCTCACAAAAGTCCCTTTAGGGAGTCTTGGAAAGTTTCTGTAGAAACCAGGGGCTCAGGACAATCCTCACAGAGCTGTTGTCCTTTGTAGACTTTCATCTCTGAAAATGGCACAGATCAGTGATTTAAGAGTATTTAAATGTTTGGTTTCCACTTAGTTAAGCGGGGAGATGGATGGCGACTCACTCTGCATGGAGCAGCGGGACATGAGAGCCTTGGCACCTGGAGCCATCTCTCATCCCCAAAACCAAATGTGAGTAAAAGGGTTTTGTGACAAGCATAATGACTTGTACACTGAAACCATGCAAAACTGAACTCATGTTTTACAAAAAAGGCTGCAGCTCTGTGATGGATTTTGGCAAGCACATGCCTCCAAAAATCCACAATACTGACATTTGGTGAAGGGTGGGAGGGGGAGGAGCACACAAAACATCCAAGCCCATGTCTTTCATTAAAAAATCATCATGTTTCATGTCTAAAATATCAAAACTATTAATTTCAATGCATCCAATACAACTGTGATGAAGAGACTGCTCCAACAGCATACTACTTCTCTCTGTAAGTAGACAGGAGATGAATGCCCTTTCTGAATTGCATTGAAAATTGTGTCTTCTAGGATGTGGGAGAGGAAGGAGGATGAAAAAGATATTAGGCAGGCTGCATCTCAAGAGAAGAAAACTCCCTTTAATCCCCTTCTCAGTAAATAAATATCCATTTGAGATCCAGCACAGGAAGATGAAGAGGATATGAGAGTAAGAACCACACAATCAGAAGAAAAGCACACATTCTCAAGAGCACCATCAGAGCACTGGCCCTCTGCATTCCCATCCTGAGTTTTGATACCAACCATGCTGGTACACCTGATTCCTTTCCAGAGGAAACTGCTCTGCTGTGTTCCTGGTTTATATGTTGGAGCAGTGAGGTCAGGACCTACCTTTCATGCAAGGACCAAGGAATCAGGTGATGGAGCCATATTCACAGCCATATATAAAGAAAAGGCAGCAAACAGACAAATTCCAGGGTGCTCCAGTGGAGTGGGTAAATTCTTCAAGGCAACAGGCAGTAGTGCAACTGCACACTCAGATTCAGCCTCTCCAAAATCAGTTGGTGCTCATTTCCAATGGATTTTTAAATCAAACCTCAAATGCTTTTTTTTTTTTTTTTTTAGAACCAAGACCATCGCTGCGGATGCAAAGACCTGGTGAGCTACCCCTTCTGTGTCCAATGGAGAGAGGCTGGAAAACTGCTAAAAAAGGGAAAGAACTGGCCAATGCCCTGTTGTTGTGAAGGAGTCAAGTAGCAGACAGAGACACAAAACAGAACTTGCAGCACCTTGACTTCTGGGACTGAACGCAATGTCAGCTCAGGTGAGCCCAAAATCACCCCACTAACCCCCTTTCTCAGGCTACAGAGGAAAGCCACCGCTGGTACCTTGGATCTCCATGGGAACCATCAGAGAGAGGGGAAATAAAAGAGGAGAGAAGAGAACAGACCAGAATGAGCAGCAGGGAATGAGGAGAGGGCGGTGGTGGGGTGAGGGGCATGTGGAAACCATCCATGCACCAAGGTGTCCTGCAGCGAGCAATAACAGGCTTACTGCAAAGCCTGCTGTACTGGGGAGGAAAACTGAGCAATGCATGGAGCCTGTGGTGGGGGAATGGTGTGTTTCCTCACAGAAGATTAACCCGGCAGCAATACTGGCAGAGGGAGCTTATGAGGAAAAGCAAAAGCAGGCAAGAAAAGCTCGCTCTTCCCATACATTTTGTGGGGAGATGGTGGTGAGCAAAGCAGGGAGACAAAGGATGCTTCTCTATACCCATCCTCCTCTTCCCCTCCAGTCCTAGAGGAACCTGGATTAGGAAAATACTTTCCACAGTGTCACCTCCTCCTCTTTTTCTCCAGCCATGGCTTGGTGATCTTCAGGCATTGATGGCTGTCACCCAGGCTAGTGCGAGAAACCTGGGGTGCCAGTGCCTCCTCTTACAGTACCAAGGAGTTCATCCCCTTGTTGGATAGCAAAGCAGCTGCCATAGGGCAGAAGGATGGGAGCTCATGGTGGTCCAGGAAAGGGCTGGCAGTGTGCTGGCCATGCAATGCTTCACAGGCAAGTGCCTTTCTCCTGTTCCATGACAGCACTACATTCTTGCTGCCCAAATACAATGTGGGATCACCTCCACATTGACAAAGGGACGAGCTTGTGTTCTTCATCAAGGGTAAGCCCCATCTTCCAGAACACCTCCTTGCCTACCTGACAATGGGAGTAACATAGAGATTTAGTCTTGGTCTCTGCCTCTGCCCGTCTCTGAGTTATCTTCCCCCCCATTCCTGGCTGCTCCTTTTTAGGTCAAGGAATGAAATTCAAGGCGGAATTAGACAGAGAAGTGGTGGTACTGCCATTCTCTGCCCTGATGCCTTTGGAGGAGGCATTTTTTTAGAAATAGTGCAATCTTCCCAAGTGGGTGCTCCCCTCCTGGAAGCTCAGCTCTCTGCCTGCACAGGCTTTGCTGCAGCTCACACACCAATAGTGCTGCTTAGCTCATCTTGGGGATACCATTAACTTTTTTATTGGAGATGGTGGGAGAGGGCTGACAGCTGCAGGCCCCTTTCTTACCTGTACACAGAGAACTCCACACTCAAAGGTGTTTCTCCTGTGTGGTTGGGGCTTCACCATCACACCTGACCACAGAAAAGTGGGAGCAGTTCCTGGGGCTCCCCTGCAAGGGGTATTTGCACAAGACCACACAAAGCAATTGCAGAGCTTCCTCATCCCAGCCCAAACAGCTGCATCTCCACAGATACTCCCTCCCTATCTGACTGCGGCAGGACATGATGATGAAGTTGACTTCATAGAGTGTCACTACAAACCTGGCAAACTGGTTGAGGTTTCAGCCATATTTCTCAGACATTAGACATTTTTCAACCAGAAGATTCCTGACAGTCTGGCATTTTTTTAATGTACGGTCTGTAGTGATTTTGACAGGAAAATTCCCTCCATACCCTCTTACTTTCACACAGCCCAATGTGCTGTGTCATCCTGCTGTCACATTGTCCTGATTCTGGCATTTTAAAGCAAGACCACTGAGGGATTTAGCATACGAGGCACAACCGATGCCACGCAGGACCTGGAGCTCGTTGTCTCCTTTGCAAAAGGCAGAGAAGGAAGTCACTGTCCGGTCATTTTGGCTGCTCTCTGCCATGGCCTGCTATGCAATGCAGCCCACTTCAGCTGACAGACTTCTAGAAAGAATCAGAAAAGTCAAAATTACCTTCTGCTCCACAGCAGGTCTACCAGTGATTTGTTTTTCTCTAAGCGAGGCAGCTGCAGGATACACTGTTCTCTGCAGTTTTAACTGTCATTCTCTCCTGATTTTATTTTCAAATCCACAGTTCAAATGCATTCTCCATTTATAGGAAGGGCAAATGGCACTGATATGGTCTTTTCTCCCCTGTGCACCTATCTTCCCCACAGGATACTTAGAAATGTGCCCATTCCTTCTTCCTCCCCAAGAAGCTCTCTGTATTTTGCAAAAAGGAGAAGCTGTAGTCAAAAATGATTTTTGCTTGAGGAAAAAAGGCAGTGGGAATAAATGCACTTTCTCCCACATTTAGCAGAGGTGGAGAGGCTGAACAGTAAAAGCTAGGACAGAGTGAGACCAGCCGGAGCAAGCAAACATTCCCTGGGGAAATGGGGCACTTTGTGCCCTTGGATAAAAGAGATCTCTTGTACCTTCACCTGGTGCTGCCTGTGCCACACAGCTTCTCTCTGAGCACACTCGCTGAAGCTTTTCCTTGTCTCTCCAAACACAAGCCTTAATGCACTACAGAAAACAGAGCTGCTGGCAGCCCTGTGCTGCAGCAGCCATGGCCCATCACCTTTGCGGCAGGGGAAGTGGCAGCAGGGCCACTGCAACCAGCAGCAGCTGAAAAAGGATTTTCTCTCCTGGGCATGTAAGCAATTGGCGCTTTACACTCTGTATTTTTCCACTTGGGAAAACCAGGTTTGGGACAGACAATAAAAAAGCAATCTGAAATCAAATTTAACAGAGTTTTACGCACTGCAGCAGAGCAGAGTTTCAAAGGGTGTTTAGGGGAGAGCGCCTGTAGCCAGCCATTTGGAGGGTACATTAAAAAAAAAAAAGGCAATAAAAAATACCAAACCCCCTTGTGTTTCTGCAGGCACAGCCTCAAGCAAATGCACACAAAGCCACAGAGGAGAGGAAAATGTTTCTGTCCCCAGCTAAAACAAATATGCTCAGGGCAATATGCACAGATGAAAGAGGGATGAATCAGAATGATACAGCTGGACCCAAAACAAAGTTCTCAAGGATATAAATTGGTGAGTATCTGGGTACCAGGTCCTGAAAAACCAAACATTGCAAACAAAATGGACAATCAAAAACAGGGACATCTGACATTTCACTCATCTCAACGGGACATTAAATAGGAGTTCAAATTTCAGGGAATGGCATTTAATCTGGACACCCTGTTGCCTGGGTGAATACTTTGACCACTGTTGAGATTATCTTCCCCCTCCTCTTCTGTTCTCTTCCTGCCCTCCTTCCTCTTTCTCACCAAAACTACCTGACAAATCCAAGATAAGCTTTCTACCAAGAAACATAGTAAATAAACTGTCTAGCTATAAACTCTTCTAGTCCTAGTTGTTCCTGTTTTCTTCTTAAGGTTGGAATACAGTGAGCCATATAATTTCAGAGCAATTACACCAACAGATAAAATAATCCTGACATTTGCTTGCTGCAGATTGCAGAAAGCCCCAGCAATTACAGAAAACCTGCAAGTTTTGGTTCTGTCGATGGCCATCTTTATCCCCTATCGCTACAGTACACTAATGTCTAACATCAGCTATCATATTTCCTATCCTCAGTAACTAGCAAAAAAATGGCATCCAAAGATGGCATCGTGAATAGCCAAGGACAGAAATCTACCATGTCTACCACTGCTGACATAAAGAAGCAGCCTTTTGTAGCAGGAAGAATTTCTTGGATGCTTTTTCACTTCCCAGCATCTGCTATGGCTATTGACATAGAGGGCAAAATTTGATGCAGTGAGCAGGATACCAGGCCATTTGGCAGAGGAGACACCAAACAGAGCATTATGTAGTTTTCAAAGGAATGATTTTTGGCCAGTTGGATTTGAACTGGGAAAAATACCACTAGAGAGCAAATAAAGAATTGGTTTGCTAATACACTGCTAATTTTTAGCTTTCCAGCCAATCTAGCACATGAATTTCCTGAGTTTACTTTCACTCAATACATGAAAGTGCTTTATGAACACTGACAAAAAGTGACATCCCGTTTCTGTTCCCCAAAGCTAAACAGCTGGAACTGGGAAGTTAGTAAAAATTTCCTCTGCAGGGGAGGTGGTATGGTCAAACTCAAGAGTAGAAGTCAGAGAATTGTTTCTAATGATGACACAACCCCTAATTGTATAGATCATAATTTCAACTCTGCTGTAATAAAGCATGTCCTCACAAAAATCTATTTGCATAAACTTCTCTTAGCCAGGCCACGTCCTGCACCCACTGCACTACACAATGGAGCTTAACACCGACCTCAGTGAGCCAAAGGTGTGGCTTTCATTTGTGTGGGAGTAGAACCAAACTCACAGTCAAAAGCCTGGCACAGCAAAAAAGAAACACTCCCCAGCTCAAGAGTTAAGCTTAGTTTAAGTCCCTGGTCTGCAGATAATTCTCCTCTCTCATGCTCTGACTGCCTGCTCCTGAACACAAGACAAAAAACTTTGACAGGAAGCTCCAGCAAGACTTTATTCAATGGTATACAATAGGAAGAAATTAGCATGAAAGAAGAATCATATACTTTACTGACTTTCCATGTCACTAAAACAAACCCATAGTGACAAGAACAACTGAGTTCGATGACATAACAAGAAGCGTGTGACCATCTCTCTAGTGTCCATACCTGCAAATAGACAATATGTTAATGCTCTTATAAAAATTACAATTCATAGGAGTGCTGGTCTGGGTGGATTTAGTTTCATTCTACCACAGCATAATTAACATGTAAATGGGTGAAATACTGTTAAGGAAATCTTAGGAAGTTCTCCACATTTCACTTTCCCCAAAAGTCTACCCAGACAACAGTAAGAAGAGAGCCTGAGCAATCCACAACACCATGTGCAAGAGGTCTCAGTACCAATTATCTTTTGCCCTGAATCCCACTTCAAATATATCCGGCATGAAGCAAGGCCAAAACTTGTCACAGCCCCAGACTGAGCACACATCAGAAAATATTAATTCATGTCTCTGTTCCTCATCATGCTGCCCGTGCAACATGAAGTGATTAGCCAGGCAACATGGACTCAGTTTTCACTGTGTGTTCAGGAAAACATCTTAATATCAAAACTATGGTACTTCAGTTGTCACGTCAATGATGATTTGCACAACTGACTGTCTACCAGAGCCCAAACACAATCCTCAACAGTTACAATACCTGTTTTGCTTTGTTTTAGTTTGGACTGTGACTAGAAATTTTTTTTTTTTTTTTAAAGTAGGTGGGGAGAGGGACAATCTACAGTTAAGAAAAGATTACTAGATCAATGGTGCAGAATTAAGCAAGTGATAGGCAAACTTCCTAACCATTCTCAATGGATAATTACCCCTAAAAACATGACTATCCCTCAAAAACCCATTCTCGGATCTCCTACTACTATTCTTGACAGGAGACCTTTAAAAAACATTAAATAAAACAAACAATACAGCAATAATAAATAAATGGGACAAAGCTGCAGGAAAGGGTACATGGACACTTGATTTCCAGATGCTAGGAAATCAGCTGTATTAATCTCTGAGGCTATCAGAGTTATAAAACAAATCATCAAGATAGAGGGACCCAAGAAGATCTCTGGCACCTCAGCAGAAACACTTTGGAACCCAAGCAGCTTAATTCAGGTCATCCTCTAAACCCAAATTACTCATGCAGCAGCACAGTTCACCTGAGACTCCACTTCTAGCCAATTCCATTTCTCTCCCGCTCTCCATTCTTTAGAGAGAATGTCAGTAAAAATCACTACTTTTTAACAGTTCCTACATACCCCACAGATGTTTGGACTTCCTTCAGAGCTCACTTAGAACCAGGTGACTAAGGAAAGAACCTCTGAACAGCAACTATGCCCTCAGACACACCAGTCTGACACTGATCATTTATATTTACAGGACAAGTGGAATTTTCATCTTGAAATCTTTGCAGGATACGTACTTTTGGAACTCCCATTCCCTGTTGTCCAGTGGACATACTTGGCGTGTTTTGAGCCAGCGAGAGATGCAGTGGAAGTGGAAAGCGTGCTGGAAGACAAAGTTCAGATCACATAATTTCAGAATGTATGAATGCAAATCAATGCAAGAACTGCCACTGAAAGCATCACAGTAAGAAAGGAGTAGCAAGAGCTTGCAGGCAAAGGTGGGGACAACTGATCATTTAATTAGCTGATAAACACCAAGGAATTGATCCACATTTTCAAAGAGGAGGAAACGTTAGTGAAACACAGCAGGGATGCTGTTCCACAGTGCATACAGTGCCAACTGACTGACTTCTGATATAGGAGGGAGTGCAGAGTTTAGCAGCTGCTAAAGTTGGCAGAGCAGACACTGATAAAAAGCATAATCAGAAAGAAAAGAGAGGATTTCAGAGTAGCAGGGATGAAATCAATGTATACATGCTGAAGGAAGCTTTCTGTCAGTTTGTAGGAGATACCAGAGCCTGAATAAAAAGGAATTTGCAAAATTAGGAAAAAAAAAATCTCATTTATGTATTTAATAAGGGCATCTGTTCTCTTACCCCATAGAGCCACTGAAAATCAAGATTCCACTTGTGGTGACTCTCACACACAACAACATAATTTTGACATTAGAATATCTTGACATAGTTAAAAATTTTGCCCTTGTCTTCTGCAGACAGAATGGAAACATTGATGGTCCTGTTCCAGCATTATCGCGTTGTAACTCAATCCCACAGCACAGTAAAGATGGGATCCACTATGGAATAGTTTATTTATTTTCAGCTCAGGCCCAGGCTAGCTAAGAGGCATTCAAGTTTGGAGTTAACATGCTAGTGGGACTAACTGATTTGATCTTCCCCAAAAACTTGAAGCAAATCACCTGGTTACCCCAGACAGTCTCTTTAAATTAATCTGCACATAGACACATCAAGCAGGCTGGCATTAAAGTGATCCTAATAGCATGGGAAAGGAAAAGGTGTAACTCCTAGGCAAACCATGACCAGGAAAATCATGCTCAGAATGAGAGATTTATTATTCCTTAAAAAAAAAATAAGGCTTATCTTCCTCTCTTTGCTTGTCTTATTAGATCTCTCCATCTTTCACTTTCTTCTCTCTCTCCTTTCTACATTCTAGTAAACATAAGGATTTAAAAATCCTTCTTTCTGGTGGATTGTGTGAAACATGCTTCAGAACTCATTCTGTCCCACATCTTCAAAAAAGGAGGATAGCATCACCCCACACAAGCTCCACAACAGAAGTTTTCCTTACATTGCAGACGCCCCATGCAACTGTGCATTCCTCAGAGGTAGCCGATGCTTGGTTGGCTTGACATTCTATGCCTGTGAAAATAAAGATTGAACAAATATACACAGCAGTTGAAGATGTACATGCACATGTACTAACAGGTAGATTCCTTCATAATAGCAAATGTAGGCAGGGGAGGAGGAGCTCTTTTGTGGTATTTAACACACCAGAAAGCATCAAGAGCTACGGTTTAATGTGTACTGTTTTTCCAAAAGTATCATATCAAAACATATTTAATCCTTATTTCCTCCTTCCTCTACTTTTTTAGTATTCCAAAGTTCCAGAGGGCAAGAATACATAGCTCATCTGCTGGCAACATGTGTCTGTTTCCCAAATTTCAAGGAAAAATATTTTCAGTTTTTCCTCTTTTTTCACAGAGATGTCTTTCGATTATGAGTTGACAGTATATTTACTTAAACTTCTTACCCAGGTTTCTCTCAACACAAATTCTTATATATTCCTGTCAGACATTATGTACTTTATTTGCAAATGTAATGCTGGAGTTTGCTCATCTTTATTTTAAAGTCTTGTGATAGGTAAGTACATCCCAAAAATCCACAATAGGAAATACAGTTTGGACAGGAAATACAGGTTTGGAATTTTTATACCTTGGAGCTGAGTACCCAGGAGGATCCCTAGCCCTAACTTTTTATGAGTTTGGGTTATGTTTTGGGCTTTTGTGTCAGATGGTGTAGATAAAGGAGATGAAAAAGAGTGAGGAAAGAAGAAGAACAACACTGAGAAAATAAATCCTACAAGCCAGTTCTCTGTTCTAAGGCTGGACAATTCACTTCTGCTCCAGTTCAAGAAGAAACTTCAGAAGAAAAAGATTTTTCCAACTCATCCACCATCAGCAGTACAAACCTTTAAGACTAACATTTTGCTTCTTGCTAAAGGACGCCTTCTGTAGGAGTCAAGACCAAATGATTTAAAAAGATCTGCTCATAGATGATAAGCTTAGAACTCAATACATGCCCTTGCTGCTTTCTTGTTTTGCATTTTTTTTTTCCTGGCAAAGAAGACGTCTGATTGAGTTCCAATTCTCTGTTCACTCTTCATGTGCTTGAAAATGCTTAGAGGAAAAGGA